TGTTCAATCAATTAATATCTAAAAATTAGATCTTTTATTTTTTCCTATTCAACCTTGACCAGTCCTATATGATATTTTGTAAAATTAACGTCGAAATTTTCTACTCATTCGAAGCAATAACGCCTTCAGTCCAGCAAAATTTGAAAGTAAAAGAAGAGATCATTGTCTTGAGCGATAAGAATTGAAACTTTCAAATATCCTGTGAACAATTTACATGACATTGCTTTTTTGCCACTACCCTTGTCAATGCCACAGCTCTCAATCCTTTACTCAGGCATAGATCCAAATAATCTTACATGACCTCACGTCATTTGATACGGCATTAAACTGTCAAATAAAGCCATCGGATTCTGGCGTTTTTAATTCAACTTGATGTTGAAGGGGAGTTATTGGCCCGGTTTAATTTCTCTATGTCCGATGCAACCTCAATGCTAACAGTAAAACAAAAATGGCGAAAAAGACATTGAATTTGAATGATATTTTTTAGCGATAAGCTTATTCTATAAGTAAAATAAACTGTTAAGTTAATCCTCGCCTTCATCTCGATACATATTCTTTAATTAGATATTACACGGGAGAACAAGAAAGAAGACAAATAATATGAAAGAGAAGGAATAATGTTAATATATTCATTAACCGGAATATATTTTAGAAATTAAATTTCCGTTTATATTGACAGACAGATGTGACCTAGCTCAAACCAACTGTTGCTGCATTAAGCTGTACAATAGACATTCCAAAAATTAGTGAACAAATTATAAGTTAACTATACAAGTATGTTGATATTGGTTTCCGGAAAAGGAAACATTTGCTTGAACAAACCGGAAGTATTTCGCAGTAATGAACTGAAGTGTAGATATATATATATAAAAAAAAAGGCTCATGCTGCTATTAATGCATTGCTCTTCAAGCGAATTGAATTGAGCTCTCCGGGCGACTGATGTATTTCGCATAGAAAACGTTAAAATTTCTCTTTCTCCCTGCCGTGCGACGATAGACTAGGGATAGAATATTTAACTGATACGAAATCGGTCGGGTTTCGATCCCTTTTTGAAGCAATCGGACGTCTAGTCACGCTGAAGAGCTGTGATACAGCGAAACAGTCAGTCTGTGGATGACAATATATATATATATATATATATATATATATATATATATATATATATATATATTGTCCCCGCCTGAGGCAGTCAATCAAACATGAGTTGCGTGGTTGTGAGAGATTTTCTTCCAAGATTTATATATATATATATATATATATACACACACACACACACACATATATATATATATTTATATATATATATGTGTGTGTGGTCACTCGTATTCGAGGATATCTGTTTACTACGGCTAGAAAATCCCTATTGCAGACGCTTGCATTTGTGTTTATTCAAAACCCACAGGTGGTCTCTGACCCCACCAACTATGCTGAGAAGACCCCCGAGTTATAGTTTCTGAGAAAGAGCGTATTATCTAGCGTGATCAACAATTTGAACAGGGGCAGCACGCTCAAGTCTTCGGCCACAATAAATTATTGCTTCGTGCTAGGACAGCTAATGACGGCCCCAAGGATTCCGTCTTCCCATTTTCACTTACAAGGCTTGGGTTAACCCCGTACTATGGTTTTGAGGCAAAAGTGCCGAACGCTGGGATCGACACCCCCAGTCCAGTAGCATCAGAAGTTTCCTTCCTGAAAACTCGACTATGGTGAGATTCGTACGTTCTAACCACTCGACCAGGTACCCATGAAATGAAGTGTACTCCATTTGAAAATAGCTCTCTCTCTCTCTCTCTCTCTCTCTCTCTCGAATAGTATGAATCCTATTAATATTGAAGCAAGAACTAGCATCAAATACATTGTGGAACTTGATTGGTTTGATTTGGTTTGTTTAATGACATATCAACACCTTATGGGTCATTCAATGCCGAAATTTATTTTTCTTGGGAGCTTGGAAGTAATAAAAATATGATATATGTTATTCTGCTTTCACAGTTGAATACATGGTAGATGATACTCAGATTTGTGCATGTACATGTTTGCGTGGACATATTTACTAGAGGCGGTGATATGTGTGTGTTATATTGTAGTTTTTTGGAAGTTATATTTTGGAATACAGTTTGATTGTAGGATGTTATATGGATTAATGTCGGGAAAGAGTTCTTTCATGTTGGTTGATTTTGTTTAGCGGCATATCAACGCCTTTATGGGGTATTTAATGCCGAAATCTAAATATTTTGAACACAGCGTTATGATTTCAACTAAATATATACTATAAATATGTATAGATATTTTGTTTATATAAAAATATATTTTTATACTTTCCTAATGTTTTTGTTTTTGTTTTGTGATTCACTATTTGCCCATAGCTGGGTCCCTAACAGGTGCTACCACCCCGGGTCAGGGTGGACCCGGGAACAAAATCAATTAAGAGGTGGTTCTATGCCCCTTAATACCTCCAATCTCTACATCAGTGACCTTTCCGCTGGATATAGTTCTATGGTGATTAAATGAAAGCAGTTTTGTTTGGGAGACGTTCAAATATACAAGCCATTACTTACGACATTCAATCGCTGATTGGAGAGAATTTTCAAGAGCAGTTGGCAATTTTATAATGTCGGGTTGATTGATTTCTTTGTTTAACGGCACATCAACTCCTTTATGGGTCATTTAATGTCGAAATTTAATTTTGCGGGTGAGTTTTGAAGCAATATGAATATAGGTTATTCTGCTTTCACAGTTGAATACATGGTAGATGATACTTAGCTTTTATGCATATACATATTTGTATCGATAGAATTATTAGAGGCAGATATATATGTGTTTTATGTTGTAGTTTTGTGCAAGTTATATTTTGGAATACAGTTTGATTGTAGGATGTTATATGGATTAATGTCGGGAAAGAGTTCTTTCATGTTGGTTGATTTTGTTTAGCGGCATATCAACGCCTTTATGGGGTATTTAATGCCGAAATCTAAATATTTTGAACACAGCGTTATGATTTCAACTAAATATATACTATAAATATGTATAGATATTTTGTTTATATAAAAATATATTTTTATACTTTCCTAATTTTTTTTTTGGGGGATCACTATTTGCCCATAGCTGGGTCCCTAACAGGTGCTACCACCCTGAGTCAGGATGAACCCTGGAACAAAATCAATTAAGAGGTGGTTCTACGCCCCTTAATACCTCCAATCTCTACATCAGTGACCTTTCTGTTGGATGTAGTTTATCGTCATACCCAGGACTGAAAGGCTGGAAGATTAAGGAGATCATCAGTGAGAAATGGTTTTGGAGATAATTCCCCAAATGAATCAGCAATGTACCAATGGAAAATCATTTTTAAAGAAGGATGAGACAGATGTAAAAATGATGAACGGATCGGCAGACCATCAGAATTAATTTTGGAGGAAAAATAGATGCTGCTTGAGGTTTAATTGAATGTCCCTAATAGCTAATACCCTAAATTGAAATTGCTCCAACCCAAAAATTTATTTCTAAAAATGACAGCTGAGCAACGCTGTTGAACAGAGGTCAGCAACAAACAAGACTAAAGCTTTCAATTAAATTTATCAACAGAAGGATTAAAACCTTGAAGGTTTTCCGAGACGAATTGTAACTGGAGTTGAAACAGGGTGATCGGTAAGTTAACGCTTGCTTAAGGCATAGGTCACCCAAACATGGAAAGAGTTCAATTAAAGCAAGAAAAAATTGCTCAAGAGGAAATGTGATGGTGACAGTTTTCTGAGATGCTGGGGGTATTTTGCATGTTAATTTTTTAGAGGAAAAATCTGCTAATAACAGAATTTTTTTCAGAGATTTCGCTAAAAATGTTTCGAAAATTTTTCATAAGAGAATCTTTTTCTATGACGCCTATCCTTCTTAATAAACGATATGTTAAAAATATGATATCGTGGAAAGTTGAGGGGGGCAGAGAATATTTCTCCTTGTAAAAATATTCAAATCATCCACAAAGAAAAAAGAAAACGAGAAGAAATCAGATAAATTGTAAATCCAGAATTTTGACATTTCAGAAATTGTTGAAGTGTTTTACATTTTTATATTGTTATGCTTCTTCTTTGAAAACTGTTTTCATACGGCCGGAAATAGGCTAGCTACAGGAGGATTTTTGAATGAATGATTATTTTACTACTTTAACTCGGGCTATTACTCCGACTGTTATTTGTTTATATCTGGGGTGCACGGATGTAGTAGTAAACACAAGAATACGCATGAAGTGTTAATAGAAAAATGCTCAGATCTATTTGAATGTGGGTAAAACATTTCTAATAATAACTACAGGGTGTTTAAAAACTTTGAAACAAAATCTACGGAAACAAATCAAGGACCACAAATGATAGAGTATTTGAAATTACGTTTATTGAAAGGTAAAAGGATAACAGTTTAGGATCTGCAACCATGTAGTCTCAAACATGAACCAAAAATGTGTAGAGGATCCCTAGACTAAATGCTCCAGATAAGGCGAGTGAAGTGCACATTCCACTTCGGATTTGCGGTTGAAGATACGCTCCCCAAACATTTGACGAAGCCAAGCCATGGTAACATTAGCAGTGTGAGAAGTACCATTCTGCTGGTACCATTGTTCCTCCTCATCAAACTCCTCACGCTCCTCGTACTCTCCCCATCTGAGTGACCGCTTGCTTTGTTTCAACACTTGTGCAATACCCTGTACACATAATTAAACGATGAAACTTTTCAGATTAATAATTTAATATCAGTTTTAGTGTAATTATTTTTATTTCTCCGTGAGTTTAATTAAATTTTATTTTAATTTTTATTTTAATTTGGTATACCAGTTAGTAGGGATATCGTATTTTATTTATAATTTTCCAAAAAAAAATTCTTTTTTAATGAAATTGATTAACAAAATATGTTCTTTTAAAAATCTACAATATCAACAGAACATGTTTTAATAAGTTGTTTGCTATAATTCAAATCTGTTTATTTACCAAATCTTAACGGCTTACGTTCTCATCACGTTGAAACACACGTTCCCGTACGATCACCGAAGTTAAACAACATCGAACATGGCTAGTACTTAGATGGGTAACCGCTTCGGAATACCAGTTGCTGCGTGTTTCGATGTGTGGGTGGTATAATGGCTCAGAAGTGTTAATCGAAAACCCGAGTTCCAATTCCGATCGAGTTCATGATATGTGGATAAACAAAATCAACCAAATATTGATTTATATGTAGTTATTAAAATGGCGCGCAATTACCCTTGGGAAATGTATGAATCCGCTTCTTCACCCCAAGCAAGTCAGGAGTGCCACTAGCACGCAGGGGGTCACAGAGGGTTGAGAACAAGAGTAAAGAGGCGGGTTTGAGGAAACGATATAGAGAAGGACGGGGAACAAGCTCAGGGTGTCAGATGTCGATTGACATTACACTTGAATATTCGAAGATTATAATCATTGGAGAAGCAAGCAAGGGGAAGGGAGTTCCACAGACGGGAAGCGCGGGAGAAGAAGCTGTTCGAGAGATTTTACATTTGACAGTGAAAGGGTGGGACCGAGATGCCAACCTAGTTGCTCGCTTAAATTAATGCAGTCTGGGAACCAGCGAAAGTAGATCGCCGGAAAAGTTGCCTTGAAATACTTATAGGAGAGACAGAGGGAAGCCACGGCATCTGTGGGATAGCGATTGTAGACTAGATGCCAGATCAGGACCTATCATCGTGCATATTCGTCTCTGGGTTTTGTCGAGGACCTTAAGGCGAACAACGGGAGCACTAGACTATATATGACAGCATTATTCCATGCAAGGACGAATGGTTGATTTATATAGATTTGAAGGATGGACTCAGACGATAAAACCTTTCTGGCCCGATTAATTAGTAAGTCTTGTATCACTAAAACCATGATTATCTCTATCTATAAAAGGCAGGATGTGTGTGTGTGTGTGTGTGTGTGCGTGTGTGTGCGTGTGTGTAACGAATGCATGGCCGCAATTTTCGACGGATTTGCACCAAAATTTACATCCACATGCTCCAAATTAGCGGGAAGGCCAAGGCCGACTTTTTATTTCCCAAGTCCTATCGATAGTGGAAATAATCGATTTTTTTCATCCTTCTACGGCAGTTTTCATGTAGTTTGCGGCCATTTTCTACTGGCCAGAGTGTGAGCCTATAGCTGGCTTCCACGAATAGGCTGGAAGATTCTATTGGCCAGCGTGAGAGCCAACAGCGGACTGACATGAATGTTAACTAGCATGCAAAAAAATCACTAGCTGCATGCGTCACAAGTGGGAAAAAATTTAAATCTTCATGGTACTCTACTCCAATTGGCTCATTCGCTTGCTTAAACTCAACGTTGATTCTGATTCCGCAGAACTGGGTTGGGTGTGAAAAAGTATTTGTTGTTAACATTCTTTTTTCATTCGGTTTTTCCAGTTGCGAGTCCTTTTTAAAGCTGATCGTTTTGTGTTCATTTTGTTTAGTTCTTTTTTTCGTAACAGATTTAATGTTTAGTATAGAGCTTAGAAAAAATTCGCAGTGTGAGATTGGCAAGAAGTAAGGCATGTAGCAACATCAGCATGACAAAGGGCAATCCTTTAAAGGCAAGGAAGGGCAAAAATAATTTAAGTCAAGTGATAGCGATTGCTGTATGAGTCGTACGATGTTTGAATCAGGCACGGGCAACGCCGGGCCATGCTGCTAGTCTGTCTATAATTATAGAGAGGATTGATCTCGATACTTTTGTTGAAAGACTTTTTTCTGGGGTAACAGTTTTTATGATTTAAATCTATTTTCATATGTTTGGGTGTTGGTGGCAAAGATTTCAGCCATTTTTTTAAAAAAGAAAACTAATTTCTCAGATTTTATCTACGTGCTGCGGGACTGGAATTCTCTACTGAAGTACCATTCCTACTCAGCGTACAAATCTGAAAAAATGAAAAAGGTTGCTGCTGTTCACGTATATTCTTCCCATTCAAAATTCCAGACAACCTGACTCCATTCCTTCGACCCTTTCTTTCTGTTTTCGCCCTTTTTCGGGTGAGTCAACTTTTGAGCGGCCAATCACCACACTACACTGACCCTACGTAACTGTATTTCACCCGCCACGAACAAGATCTGCATTTTTCTGCTTTCTACCAAATAAAATGAAGCGCCAATGTCAGTAGTGGATTATTTGGAGGTCAATTTTTAACCAATGGGACTAAAGGACGCTACGTTGCAATTTCCAATAGTGATTATTTGTCCCTTTGTACAGTAAGAGAAATCCGCAGTGTCAGCTGGAAGTTTATTGTAGCAAAAGAGGGGGCACTCCTCATTAGAAGGCTATTGAGAGATGAGACGCTATGTAAGGATATTAAAAAATCGGGGTTTGATGGGGAGAGACGGCGTAATTCAATGAAAGGTTAGAAGAAGAAGAAGAAGAAGAAGAAGAAGAAGAAGAAGAAGTGTGTCAGAAATAGATAGATAGATAGATAGATAGATAGATAGATAAGGAGGAATAAGGAAGAGTGACTGCAACACTGAGATCCGTAGACGTATTGATATGGCTAAGGACGCATTCCAAAAGCTGGGCACAGTATTGCAATACAGCAGGATTTCTTTGGTAATAAAGAAAAGAGTACTGAGCTGTTGTATCACATCTGTCCTCCTTTATGCCAGTGAATGTTGGACGGTCTCCTCAAAGATGAAGAGACTCGAGGCGACGGAAATTTAGTTCTACAGAAGGATGCTAAGGATATGGTGGACCGAGCGTGTGAATAACAATGAGGTCTTAGAGAAGATGAAAACAAGGAGGAGGCTTATACTTAAAATCAGAAAGAGGTTTCTGAGACACATAATGAGAAAGGAGGGTCTGGAGAATCTGATACTCACAGGTCGAATGGAGGGAAAGAGAGACAAGGGAAAACAACGTATGACATACCTGGCGGGCTTAAGCAAGTGAATGACAAAACGTGCTCTGGGGGAGGTGGCAGAGGGACGGAATTTGTTGAGAGCTACAAGGGATAGGGAGGAAGTGGAGAGCCCTGATCGCCTATGTCCTGAAAGGACACGGCACTTAAAAAGAAAAGAACAGATAAAGTGAAATGAAGCAGTGACAAAAGAAAAGAAATAAAATGAGCAAAATGGGGAAAGAGAAAAAGGAATACTGGAAAGAATTGAAAGAAACAAGAAAGAGAAATATATATATATATATATATATAAAAAACAAAAAACATTCCAATAAAAATTAAGAAAATATAAGGAAAGAAAGACGTCTTTTCACCTGAGAGTGGAAAATCAACAAAAGACAGAAAAATATATAGTTATGAAGAAATGAATAATAGAGAGATAGATATATAGATAATGAAAAGAATGAGATAAATATTTATGACGTAGATATGAATAGATTGATAATATACATATGATCCATATGTCGTCATTTTTCTTAAAGGGAAAAGACACGCCTTGGTTTCAGTGAGTAAAAGAATGAAAGAAGTGTTTAATGTCTCCTGCAAATACGTCATAAATAATGGACTATTCAGATTTGATTGCGTGTAAAAACAAAAAATTATATCAAAGGCGCCACCTGGTTTCAGTGAGAAAATGAATGAACGAAAAATGAAAGGAAGATAGACGTTTTTAATGGTTGTTACAGGGAAATGGAAAATGTTGTCAAATGATAGAAAGAAAAATCGATATGCCCACATCGATATACACGTGAGGATGGAAAATAGACTGAATATAGCATAAGTAAGAAACCAATGTTGATAAATACTTCTCTCATCTGAGCAATATATCGTGTGAACTTAAGATTATAATGTCTATCGCGCTGTGTTATATATATATATATATATATATATATATATATATATATTCTGCTATATAATAGTGAATGCTGTAAGAGTCTTCTTCTTGTGTAAAACATGAAATGGAGGCTTACATCCATATCACGTTGAAACACCAGTTCCGTACGATCCCCAAATTTAAGCAACGTTGAGTCTGATCAGTACCTAAATGCGTGTTGTAAGCTTGGATGGGCGGGTGATGTAAGCTAGGATGGGCGGGTGATGTAAACTAGGATGGGCGGGTGATGTAAGCTTGGATGGGCGGGTGATGTAAGCTTGGATGGGCGGGTGTTCTAAGCTTAGATAGGTGGATGCTGTAAGCATGGATGAGTAGGTGCTCTAAGCTTAGATAGGTGGATGCTGTAAGCATGGATGGGTAGGTGCTCTAAGCTTATATGGGCGTGTGATGTAAGCTTGGATGGGCAGGTGATCTAAGCTTTTATGGCCAGGTGATCTAAGCTTGGATGGGCAGGTGTTCTAAGCTTGGATGGGTCAGGTGCTCTAAGCTTGGAAGGGCAGGTGATGTAAGCTTGGATGGGCGGGGGCCGTAAGCTTGTATGGACAGGTGCTCTAACATTGGATGGGTGGATGATGTAAGCTTGGATGGGCGGGTGATATAAACTTGGATGCGGGTGTTGTAACCTTGGATGGGTACTAAACTTGGATAGGCGGGTGATGTAAGCTTGAATGGGCAGGTGCTCTAACCTTGGATGGGCGGATCGTGTAAGCTTGGATGGGCAGGTGCTCTAAGCTTGAATGGGCGGGTGATGTAAGCTTGGATGGGCAGGTGCTCTAAGCGTGGATGAGCGGGTGATGTAAGCTTGGATGGGCAGATCCTGTAAGCTTGGATGGGCAGGTGCTCTAAGCTTGGATGGGCAGATCCTGTAAGCTTGGGCTGGCAGGTGCTCTAAGCTTGAATGGGCGGGTGATGTAAGCTTGGATGGGAAGGTGCTCTAAGCTTGAATGGGCGGGTGATGTAAGCTTGGATGGGCAGGTGCTCTAAGCTTGGATGAGCGGGTGATGTAAACTTGGATGGGCAGGTGATGTAATGGATAACAACTCGGGGTAATATATGTTGGCGGGTGTTTTCATTCATTTAGATGAAAATACCTTTGGTAAAGGCATAAATGTCCATCTTTCCCTCTTTTCTTTGGGTTGAAGAGTAGGAATTGTATAAAAAACTCATCATTATCTCCTTCAAAAATTCCTACAATCCCAAAATATTTTCCAGTTTTAAATAACCTTGAAAAGGTTGATAAGCCGTAAAAATTATATAAATAAATAAATCATACAATATATATGAAGAAGAGACTTCAAGCAACAGAAATGTTCTTCTCCAGGCGGATGTTGAAAATTCTATCAACTAAACTTGGCACCAACAAGAAAGTCTTTAATGATTATGGGGACTCAAAGGACACATACATAAAATATAAAAGAGAGTTGAAACTTCTGGGATGCATAATGAGAAAGATAGCTTGGAAAATATAAGACTCTGAGGACATATTGAACATAGGAAGGCGTGGAGAGAAACAGAGAGTAATGAAATTAATGTGTTTGCGTGAATGGATAACAGAGACATGGGAGAGTCGTGGTATTTTACCTCTTAAAGAGACACGCAACAAAAAGGTGTAATAATCCTATTACAATTTTCCTTTTCCCTCACTTCATTAGTTCGCACAACCGTTACGTCCTGCCAATACACCCTAAATAATAGACTATTTCGTTTTGACGCATGGAAAGAGGGGGAAAATTATATTTCGTTTCAGTGAGAGAAAGAAAGGAAGGAAGGAAGGAAGGAAGGAAAAAAGAAAGAAAGAAAGAAAGCAAAAGGTGTGTAACATTTCCTGCAATTACATCATAAGTAATATACTATTCCGATTTGATCTCCTGGAAAGAGGAGAAAATACATTACTTGGTTTCACTGAAAGAAAGAAAGAAAGAAAGAAAGAAAGAAAGAAAAGGAAGTGTTTAAAATACTTCAGAAATAATGGACTATTCCGTTTTGATCGCATGGAAAGAGGAGAAAAGATACTACTTGGTCTCATTAAGGAAAGGAAAGAAAGAAAGAAAGAAAGAAAGAAAGAAAGAAAGAAAGAAAGAAAGAAAGAAAAGAAGTGTTTAACGTCTCCTGCCAATACCTCAGAAATAATGGACTATTCCGTTTTGATCGCATGGAAAGAGGAGAAAAGATACTACTTGGTCTCATTAAGGAAAGGAAAGAAAGAAAGAAAGAAAGAAAGAAAGAAAGAAAGAAAGAAAGAAAGAAGTGTTTAACGTCTCCTGCCAATACTTCAGAAATAATGGACTATTCTGTTTTGATCGCATGGAAAGAGGAGAAAAGATACTACTTGGTCTCATTAAGGAAAGGAAAAAGAAAGAAAGAAAGAAAAGAAAAAAGAAAAAGAAAGAAAGAAAGAAAGAAAGAAAGAAGTGTTTAACGTCTCCTGCCAATACCTCAGAAATAATGGACTATTCTGTTTTGATCTCCTAGCGGGAAAGGAAATGACATTATTTGGCTTCCGTGAGAAAAACGAGCGAAAGAAAGAGTAGAATATAGAGTGCTTTCAGTAAAATGGAAAAAAAAAAGATTCAATTTCAAATCTCTTCATTTGTACCCCTTCCTTCTTAAAATAACGACCAGCATTCATATTTTATGATTGTTTTTGAATATTTGTTAAACTCAAATACACCTAACAATAAGATATGGAAATTTCTACGGATATTTTATTATCGTAGAACTCGCCATGAGCATATTCAATTATTAATTGAAGAATTAAGATTTAACAAAAATTGAAATAGAAAAACTGTGAAATTTCTCCAAGTAAAACTAGTATTTATTAAAGAAATTAAATGCGACAATTTCTTTTTTTGTAAATTAATTCAAAATATATAGGCCAAAGAAACAGAAATTCTATTAACAGAGTAAACCAGTCTTTTTGAATAAATTTCTTATTGTTTTTACCATATATTCACCCAACACAAGAGCCACTCAAGGTAGAGGTTTAACTAATGAATTTATTGTATGGGTGTGCAGGTTATCAGGATTTTTAATTGACGCTAGGTTTAAAAGGGGTTAAGATTGCACCCACTCAGGAGTCTGTTCCCAAAGAAGCAGTTATCGAGAAGTTTTCTAAGTGTAATTCCCTTCTTACCAATGCAATACGAAGGTCGGCTCCTAACTGTAAATCTCTGAACTGGTGCGAGTCTGGAATGTAGTCCGTTTGAACCTGAATAGCTATAGGTTTGGGAACGTTTCTCTGTAGAGAATGCTTTCGAATTCTGGGAAGTATGGATGAGGCGAACCTGTCAGCAATTTTGGTTTGACAAGATTTCTCGAATATTCAGGCCGGTAGATGTAGTTGGATAAAGATTGCTGTTTAATTAAAAAACAGCGCTTTTTTTTATTACTACTACTACTACTTCTACTACTACTACTGCTACTACTACTACAATAATAATAAACGGACAATTTACTTAAATATTTGTGGCTATAAAATTAAATATATTAAAATAAGAGCCGGGATTATATATATATATATATATATATATAAAAAAAAAAATATAAATAAAAAAAATAAAGTCATCCACAGACAGACTGTTTTGAAGCTCTTCAGTGTGGCTAGACATCCGGTGGCCTCTAGTTAGGACCGAAACCCGACTGTATTGGTGTCAGTCGGAGATTCTACCACTAAGTCGTCGGCGCATGGAAACGATGAAGGTGAATTTTAGCGTATTTATTTTAGAGAAACACACACAGTGACCGCCATTGATTCAAGTCGCTCTTCCTGAAGAGTCTATATATATATATATATATATATATATATATATATATATATATATATATATATATATATATATATATATATATATATATATATATATATATATATATATATATATATATATATATATATATATATATATATATATGCAGCATGTTCTCGTTCAAGCATGTTAGGTTACATAATTTATACGTATTATATCTATTTCAGTTTTAATCGTTTCAAGTCCAGGAATTAGTTTCTTGGTGGCTGAAGAAAATATTTTTTTACTTGGGAAAATAAAAAATTATTTGAAAGAATATTTTGGTATTTTTTTTTAAATAATTTTCTGTAACCACCATGAAATTAATTCATGGAAATGACAAGATTAAAACTAAAAAAAAATAGACATAATACATCAAAATTACTTAACCGAATATCATTGAATATATATATATATATATATATATATATATATATATATATATATATATATATATATATATATATATATATCAATCATACAATCGGAATTAAGGTACCATTATGTAAATGATCATTTTCTATTTGTAAAATTAAATTACAGGATTTTTCAAACAATCAATGGATGATAGATTTTGAAATAATAAAAAAAAAAACAGAGAAGAGCGAGGAAAGAAAGGATAAAAGAGGGGAAAAATAAGATGAAGAAGGGAAAGGAAGTAAAGGTAGTAAAAGATACAGGAAGTGATGTAAAGACTTGATATGATGGTCAGAGGGGAAAGGAAGAGCGAAAGAGAAAAAAAAAGGAGAGAAAGAAATGACCTATTTAATACACCCGGCAGAAATCAGAGATAGACTAAAGGAAGTTTCCGAAATTAATGAAAATACAAATATTATATGAAATAATAAGAGATAAACACATAAATATGAAAGGGAGATAATTCAGAATTAAAGAAAATTAAATTAACAAATATATCAGAAAAGAAATTAAATTAACAAATATATCAGAAAAGAAAATTAAGGGAAATATAAAAAAAAATAATAAAAAATTGGTCGGGGATAAATATCATAGGACGAATAAATCCAAATTAACACATATTAAATTAAATTTATATTAATTAATACCCATTCACAAGTAGAAAATTTATATTTGAAATTTAGTATATAATATAAAAAAAAACTTAAATTTGGAAAAAATTAATGAAAAGTGTCTTAAGAATAATGGAATCAAAAGATGCCTTTAGAATCAAGAGATAATACTATATAAAAATAAATAATATATAAATATATTAATTAGTTAATTAATTAAAAATAACAAAATATTAAAAAAAAACATTAACTGAAATTAAAATATTAAATGCAAAAAAACAAAAATAGCACCTCACACAAAAAAATATATAAAACCATTAAAATTTATACTAAGATAAATATGCAAATGAAGTGGCATTTGCATATTTATCTTAGTATAAATTTTAAGGGTTTTTCTCTCTAAATTCTGTTTTTATTTCCGGAGTTGGGTTTTTTCTGTTTTCTTTTTGAATTTGTAGGTCTGATGAATTGGATCGTATTTACGATTACAATGGAATAAATTATGACCATGGAATATTAGTGTTTAAGCCTTTTTATTATATATATATATATATATATATATATATATATATATATAAATAAACATTTACCGGCCTGAATGTCGAGAAATTTTCATAGAAAATATTCGTCCTTTGACAGGATTCGAACCTGCATCCTATACGGAACCGTCATTTACGCTGACGTGCCTTATCGACCAGCCACAAAGGAGCATTCGGTAGGGAAGGTCGAATTTACTGCTTATAAACCTTGCCTACCGAAAGCTCCTTTGTGGCCGAGACGGTAAGGCACGTCAGCGTAAATGACGGTTCCGTATAGGATGCAGGTTCGAATCTGTCAAAGGACGAATATTTTCTATGAAAATTATTCGGACATTCACGCCGGTAAATGTTATTTAATACTGTTTATTATAAACAGAGCATTTACTTAAATACTTGTATCTATAAAAAGAACGTTAAACATAAAAATGTCTTTAATAAATAAATTGTCGGACCTTGTCCATTTCTTTATATATATATATGATATTTATTCAACTTTATAACATATGCATGTTATAAGCTCACTACAAATGTTGCAATTTTGTTTCGGCACTTCAATCAAAACTCCTCAGTAGGGAAAACACAGATAACAAAGTTTTTTGAATTCTTAAAATCGTTTATTTTTCTTTCTACCTCATCATCTGATAAGACACCTGAAGTGTCGAAACAAAATTGCAACTTTTGTAGTGATCTTTTAGCATGTATATTTTATAAGTTTGAATAAATATTATTAGCTCTACTCGTTATTGAACACACTTTTAAGAATGGTGTTTTTGGTTATAGGCATTTTATTCCATGTACACAAACCCTGTACTTGGAGATCTATCTATCTATCTATCTATCTATCTATATATATATATATATATATATATATATATATATATATATATATTGATATCAGGGCGCGGCAAAAGTAACGGCTTTTTTATTTACTAACATTTAGTGAACATACGATTGATTAAGAATTACTATTTTCGAGAAAAGTTAAATCTTAATTTCGAGCTGAGGTAGATAGGACGACGTGGAGCAATTGAGTGGCCATGATGATCGCCACACTTACCACCATCAGACTTTTTCTTGTGGGCGTGTACTGAAAGATCTTTTTTTTTTGTTTTTTAAATCTGAAGTAGATCGGAGGACATGGAGCAATTAAGTGTCTCTCACCATCACCACACCTAACACCACCAGACATTTTCTTGTGAGGTATACTAGAAGATCTAATTCCTGAATTAAAACAAACAATTTCTGATAATCTTTCTGAAATTACTATAGAAATTTGTCAAATGATTTGTAGAAGTGCTTTTTATAGATTTCAGTGTTGCATTGAACATGAAGGGGCGGCATTTTGGACATGTCAAATAGTTTGTTAATTATAACAAATTATAACAAATTTTGCTGTTATGATGTGACAATATTTATAATTTTTTTAAAACTATTGTAATTTATTTTTGCCCAATAAAAGTTAAGAAATAAAAAGCGCGTATTTTTTGCCACAACCTGTATATAACAGAGAGAGAGAGAGAGAGAGAGAGAGAGAGAGAGAGAGAGTAAATAAAGAAAAAAAGAAACCTTCAAATTTGTGTTCACAGAAAGTCCAACTTGACAGAATCCACAGATTTTTTTTTCATTTTATTACTGGCGGGAAGAGTTTTTTTTCCTTGTTTTAACCAGTGGTGTTCTTTTATTATTTTATTCCATTCTTTGGATTGGAATCTAGTACAAAGTTCTTCGTAAGAACTGACCTTTTGCATAGTTCTGGCGGGCGATCATGAACTCGTCTGATTCTTACATTTAAGCTGAACAGAGAAATAACTTTTCTTATTACCAGCTTATTTCGCTAAGAGAAATCTCTTTTTGTTCTTTGTAAATAATCTTCTGTTGTATTTCTGTTCTACAATTCTACTTTTCTCTATCAAGTATATTTGAATCTGACGTCAACCTTCTTAAATAAAGTATATCTTAAACATACTGGGTTCAGAAGCCGACAAAGATATTGCCTGAAATTTGATCTGGAATTTTAACTCTATAATCTTAGATCCTTGAGATCAATATCCACAGCTTAAATCCATTAGCAAAAATTATGTTAAACAATTATATTTACATTCGTATTAATATCCTCATCTTTGTTGCGACTGTTACAAGGTTTCTGTCATGGTGCCTTTAGTCTTTCTTCAGGTATCTTTCGACCCACAAGAAATTTTGGACAACCCTATATTTAATCTAGCTATTTTTATTTCAGTGATATCTTGTCTGTAATAAACTCACAACTAATTTCTCGAGCCAATGTTTTAATCCACTTAGTAATCCTTTGGGTCAATCACGGACCTAGAACTTGGAGTCTTAAACCTAATGTTTTTCTATCCTGTCTGCTGCCGAAACAATCCTACACGTGCTGCTGTCACGCTTGACTGCTTTAACCTCCGGATTTCTTTTCTTCTGTTGATACTTTTCAAACCCGGTGATGCTTCTGGTGAATCCTACTGACATTTTTGTTTATTTATTAATAGCTCGCATATTAGACCTACAGAGGTGACCCTCCTAATCTAGCAATGATGGGACCAACAGGTGAAACTTTGTGATAATAACATTGATGAGAAAATTAGGAAATAATGTAAATGATATAAGTACCAGTAACCTGCCATCTAAGGAATTCACATATAAAATATATTTGCACATAATTATTTATTATAATAAATGTATAATAAATCATCTGAGGTTTTGACGTACTGACACCTCTATCACATTTTTGATTCATTAATATATATATATATATATATATATATATATATATATATATATATATATATATATATGAAGAAAAATATACGAAAAAAACAAACAAAAAAATCCTTATATGCAATTATGCTGTTTTAATGTTAATATAATGTCAACGTCGGACGTTTCGGACTAATAAACCATCTTCAGGACATATTCATAAAATATAATTTCAGTTATCTGTTTGGATAAGTGTTGTTCTTATGTCCATCGTCTTTGTCATGTTGAATTGATAATGTTAATTATATTTTATGAATATGTCTTGAAGATGGTTTATTAGACCGAAACGTCCGACGTTGACATATTAACATTAAAACAGCATAATTGCATATAATGATTTTTGTTTGTTTTTTCCGTATATTTTTTTTCATACTGTCGAATCTATATCCATATATTTTTACATATATATATATATATATATATATATATATATATATATATATATATATATATATATGGTAAAATGAAGAACAAATAAGAAACGTATATCGATCTAACATGTTTCACTTTTATTAAAACTTCGGCAGAGATTGAGAGAAAAAAAAGACAGGCACTTCAGTATATTGAATTTTGTCTGGATCAGTTTTCATTGGTCAGTCACGTATCAGGTGCATTAAACCCGTAGATAATTCAATATATACGTAAGTTCGTAAAGATTATTTGTATGTCTAAGTGGGCATCTGATGGTAATGTGTATTTTTAATTGTGTATGCCTGTCTGTGTAGTAAGAGGAGTTCTTATGTTTTCACCATAGTGCGGCACAGCGGGGTGGCATTTCATTATAATTTGTGACTGATCTTTTTAAACGCCTATTTTTGTGTATAAGTTAAATGTATGTATATAGCATTACTAAGATGTGACAACTTTTATATTTGTATTAATCATATATATATATATATATATATATATATATATATATGCTTCAATAATCTGGGTGTTATCATGTCTACTTATTTTATTTTAATCCTCTCAAATTCACAGATCAGTTTCTTAATTTTGTTTTAAATTCATTAAGGAAGGTCCCACATTAGTTTTTATTTATTTATTTCCCCAAGGACTTTCGATCTCATCCAAAATCATTTCAGGGATGAATTGCTAAGAGAAAAACTTAATGTAATTGATAGTTGGGTTTTTTTTTGGGAAATTCACAGGAAACCCGATCCGTTATTGATGTTATATTTTATTTATATGTAAAAGAAGTGTTTACTGGAATCTAAAGATCTGTTTGATGTATAACAACATCGATCAGTTATAACAATTAAAAATTCGTTCTGTGCAGGTTTAATTAAACGGCAGCCATTTGTATGAAACATCCTGAATTTCGAAGTCTGAAATTCGAAGATATGTTGCCAGTTTGAATCTTTAAAATGTATCTTCAAATTTATTTCACAAACAAAATCTGTGACACTGAATATGTAGGAAAAAAGTTTGGAAGCATGGATGAATCAACTTGTCCCAGGAATATTTTCAAGTGGAAGGTGGACAATTTGCATGAATAGCACTGATTCGTTGATAACTGAACATTTTCTACCAAACTAACCAATCTAACCAAAATCACGAAATATGTTCTAAGTACTAAGTACAGATAATACCGAATATCTGAAATTCTAGGTGGCCAGGCAACGCTATGTAAGCAGAAGTCATGGTTGGTATGTTTAAAGGTAAATTAACCAGTAAGTTTTTTTTTGTTTTTTATATAACATTTAGTTTTCGGTTTTCATTTTTAGTCGCTGTGCATAATTTCGTTTAAGATTTAGCACTGGTACCAGAGGACCGGTAATGCGGCCATTTTTATTTTTCTTAATTATGTGGTATTTCGATTTTACAACTGTAATATGACCCTTAATATTGTAGTGAACACGCATCAGTACAGACGCAAAAGAGGCCTCGGATTGCGTGTGAACAGTTTGACCTCATAATGGAATAAATAAAAGGCGGTAACATAAGCCCACGTGTCATGCTTCGACAAGTGTGGCTTTTGAAATATATTTTCAGTTTCCCGAAAATTTCTGACTACGTCAAATCGGGAATAAATTGACTCCCATCGTGTGTTCATTATAAATAGACATATTTGATTACTAGATGTGTAAAAAATATTAAAATATTATTCTCGAAGAAATCTTTGCAGTTTTATCTTGGATTTATTAGATTACTAGATGTGTACCAAATAAGAAAATACCATTCCCAAAGAAATTACTAGTGTTATCTTTGATTTATTTCGATTACTAGATGTGGAACGAAATACAAGTACAATTCCGGAATCTCCCAGTTTACATTGCCAAAGGAATAATTACCGATTCTAAAGAACATCTATCTCTTGTTACAAACATGGATAATTAGACTGGTATCTAGTATAAGATAAGATCCTCTTGTTGAACTTACATTTTCTATCTTATATTCTCTCACTATTCAATTGTTTTGTTATATAAAATTATTTTTTACACTTTCAACCTGTGTTTATTGTTTGAAGGTCGTGTTAAACGGGCTCGCTTCCAGATCCTTGCATACGTACGTGGGGGCCCCCAGGGCTCTATCCTGGGACTTACACTGCTTCTAATCTTCATCAATGATCTCCCCGATGTCATCAGTTACCAACTAGTTGGGTATGCAGATGACACTAACATTTAATCCTGTCTCAGTAACAAATCCGACAGATTTGACATAGTAAAACTGCTCTTGTAAAGGACCTCCAATGAGTGGTGAGCACGAACAAAAATGGCTTGTAAGTTTGCACGCCTCCAAAACAAATCGATTTAATTTAATCCCCACAGAGAATCATTTCTGTCTGAAAATGATGCTAAACTTTTGGGAGGCAAAATGTTATACCTTCTTGGCCTCACGTTTTCCCCTGACATGAATTGGAGTGATTTTATAAAATCAATTGCTTCGTCCACTATATGAAAAGTTAGTTCACTGTGTCGTACTCAAAAACGTTCATATCAGAATCCATCTTGGACATTTACAAATCTACCATTCATCCGGGCACTAAACACTCTTGTCATATATGGCCTGGTGCTCCTTCTGTATTTCTTGAAATTCTTGACAAAATTAAAAGAAGTATCTGTAATATAATCGATCCTGACCCGGCATCTCGACATCAGTCACTTTCTCACCGACATGTCGTGGTTTCCCTCTGTCTTTTCTACGAATAGTTTCATGGCAACTCCTCTGACAAGCTTCTTCTTCCCTGGTGATCCGACTAATGGAATTCAAGCGGGCTACTAGATTGGAAGTTAAGTCACGGCCTTTTAATGTTGAAGTAAGTAGATGCAATCGGTAGTCTACTCCAACAGTTTCTTTTCTCGCACTTCCTACTTGTCATTATCGTTCAGTCGCTGTAGCACTCTTTATTCCAGTGGGATTGCCGACTTGAATAGGGTGAAATGATTTAATTTAACAAAAAAAAAAAAAAAAAAAAAAGGAAAAAAATTCGTTATAGGTAAATTCGATAAAAGAAACAAATGGAGAGTTTTTCACTTTTTCCAATAATTCTCTCTCTCTTCTCTCTCTCTCTCTCTATATATATATATATATATATATATATATATATATATATATAATTTTAAGTATGAAAGAATAGAAATATTAAATTACATGTAACTCACTCATGTCTCTTCTCTCCCCACATTTCCTCACTTCGTTAATTTACATATGCTTAATACAACCCGTCAAAAATGTGTAAATTTCTGTTCATTTTCTTTTCAAACTTTGGAAGTAAAGTATGATGATCTGCAGTCCTTTAAAAGGGTTGTGGTGAAATAATTTATTACATGGAAGCTTAAAGTGGTCTGTTTTTATTTAATATATATATATATATATATATATATATATATATATATATATATATATGAAATATTAATGAGGGACATTTTTCCTTTTTATATCTCGTGACCATTTCTGTTATTTGTAGTGTCTAATGAGTTTATGTCTTATTGGTATCTCTCATAATCACTTTTCTGCCAACCATTTACACAGGTTCATTTAGTAAATCATTG